TATTTCTTAAGAGCAGTTTTAGGTTTACAGAAAAATTGCAGAGTGCAGAGTTCCCATATACTCCCTCCCCCAACTGTTTCTCCTATTAGTAACATCTTGGATGAGTGTGGTACATTTGTTACAACTGATGAGCCAATATTGATACATTGTTATAAGTACATTGTTATATAAATCCATAATCTACATTAGGGTTTACTCTTTGTGTTGTACATTCTATGGGTTCTGACAAAGGCATAGTGTACTCTATTCATTACAGTATCATACAGAATAGCTTCGATGCCCTAAAATTGCCCTGTGCTCCATCAGTTCACCCCTCCCCTTTCCTCCCCTCATCAATTTTTAGGAATCAGAATGACATGTCTTCTGTGAAAACATCTCAAATGAATCTCTTTGATGCTTGCATAGCTTCACACCTATTATAGCTCCTATGTTCCACATAGGATTCTAGATGGACACACGCTCTTCCTCCTTCACTAGGGTTGTATCTCCATGAAGGAGAGAAGGTGCCGTGGATTTGGCCTGACAACACCTAGCCTAGACCCTGCTCTTAACAGGTGCCTTATACACGCTGGCTGACCTGAATTGTGAGCAAATATTGGGTGGGATTTTGCAGAATAGAGACAAAGATTTAGACCTTGAAGTCTGAAAGTGACAGGTAAATGTGTGAATCTGATACTTGTGTCAGCACTCAAGGTCTGCGGATGGGGAAGTTCTTTGAAGGCAACCATCTTCTGTCCCTTCAGATTTGGGCTCAGGAGCAGCCTTAGGTGAAGTAGTCCCAGCCGGCTTTATATTACTGCTAGGCCACAGAGCTCTTCTGCCTCTCCACCTCTCCAAAAAGAAAAAATGAAACAACAACAATAACAACAAAAGAGGAGATGGGGACAAGGAGCCTGATTGTTCTCATCCTTCCAGTGTCTGTGCCCCTCTCAGGAAGGGCCCTGGAAAGCCTTATGTTTGGTCCCCACTCTCTCTCCCCAGGTGGGCCCCAACAATGGATGCCCAGCGTGTTTTCTTTGGCCAAGGAGCACCTTTCCATAAACGATTCTTATTTTCTTAAGTCACGCTGAGATTTTTGCTTTAAAGACACTGTTCTCAAACGTTCTAAAATGCTGTAGGAACATGCAGATCGGAACAAAAGCAAATAAATCGAATCTTGTGAAGTAAAGCAGAAGCCTTTCTCCAACAGCCAGCACAACGCTAAATGAGAAATATCAGTCATCCACTAGATACAGTATATTCCCCTCTAGACAGGAGCTGCCGTTTGCAGAAACCCCCACCCCAAATACGCGGCAGTGAAGGTACCATAGAAGGAACTACTCTCCTCAGCTGCCGCACGGGAGTCAGCAGTTTTAGCGCGCGACCTATTCCTTTAAGCAACACACGCTGTTTGAAAGACCTTGGCCTTTACTTCCTTGTACCTGCCTGCAAACACACGTGGTGGGGGGGGGGAGAGAGAAAGTGCCCCCCTCACTCCCCGAATCTTTGAGCCCGCAGCAGCGCCAGACCTGGCACGGGTTAGTGGAAGACACTCTGGAAACCCGGTTAGATCCCAAGGTGCCGTTACCTGGGACAGTGAATGCTTTCGAGAGAGCAGGGCTCCCCCCCATCCCCCCGCAACCAGAAAAAGCCAGAGGAAAGGCGAGGGCAGTCCGCCCGGCCGAAGAGCTCGGAGGGAGCCTGGCAGAGCCCCTCCACCCCGAGACGACAGCCCTCTTGCACCTGTGCTCCCAGGGGGCGGGGCCTCCTCCAGGTGTGCGGAGGAGAAGGACGCGGAGAGC